AAAAAGAAAAAAACTATAAAAACCCTTTAAATTTTTGTAATGCCCGATTTTATTTTTTTATTTATTTCCAATTTGTCCCCCCCCCCAACCCCCCCCCCCCGAGGTACAAAAAAATACAGAAAGGAGCAGTTTTTGCCAAACCCACTTATACTATGCATAGCATTCGGGCTGGTTTTAAAAATTAAAACTTAAGATTAACAAAACCCAATGATTATTATTTATTTTTTAAAATTTAAAAAAGAAGCGCAAGCCAAAAGGGCCTATACAGCGTGCAACAACCCAAATGATAAAAATCGGGGAAAAACATTAAGGGTAAACAGATAACTATAAACAAAAGGGGAGTATTACAAAGAAGGGTTCATTTTGGTTGCATTCAGTTGGGTATGTTTCCCTTTTAGGTAGGTTTAAAAAAATAATAAAGTTAGATTGGGTTTTAGGTTTAACATTTATGTGATATAATTGTGAGAAACATTTAAAAATATAAAATTTAAAATTTGTTCCCAGTTATTCAGAAATTTTTTGGGTTTTTTGGGTGAGTAAGAAATCTTTGAAAAAGAATTTTAATTTATAAACAGGTTGTGTTTTTTTTAAATTTTTTAAACATTAATGAATTCCAGATTTTGGGGGGCCTTTTATTTTTGGCATTGATTTTTTGCATAGTGTGAAAATGGCCCGGGAGGCCCCTCAAAGAGTGATCTGTGCCTTGGGGTTATGGTAAATTGTTCGGGTTGAGGTTGGCAAGGAGATGGTTTGAGGGGTGGGTTTAAAATATCAGAGTTAAGTGTTTTTGAAATGTAATGGGGGGCAGTAAAAAGTATGGATGTTTTTTAAATTGGTGAAGGTTTAGGGGTTTTGGGAATTTTGGTGGAGTGGGCTGCCTGTAGTGAAAATTTTTTTATAAATTCAAAACTGCAGCCTTTTGTTGGGTAATTAGTGGAACTGAGATGGTTAATTGTTGTTAGCCCCATCCCAAAAAATTTCCCCATAGGTGAGATGGGGTAAATAAGAGAGTGATTAGGGCCAGGGGGGCTGACTGTGGAACATAGAAACCGTATTTCGATAGTATGCCTACGTCTTGGAAAATTTTTTAGAAAAATTTTATGTAATGTGTATGAAATTTTTAGCCCATTCTAGGTGGATTCCTAAGAAATTTTCCCTCTGTTAGTTTTGGGGATAGGTGTCCTTGGGGCAATTTGTTAAGAGGGACATCTGTAGCTTGTTACCAAACTGAATGAAATAGGTTTTTGTCAATGTTTAGTGTAAGTTTGTTTGTCCTCCTCCAGGTAATTTTTTTTATTTCCCCACCGGCCATTCCCACAAAGGCAGGGTGGCCCCCCAAAAAAGAAAAATTTTTTTACCATCATTCCCCTTAACCCTTTTACTTGGGTTTTCCAGAAAGGGGGGGGCTTTTTCACTACGTTTTTAAAAAGGGGGTTTTCATTTCCACCCCCTCCTTCCCGAGTGCCCGGCCCCAAAAATTTAAATTTTCCCCTCTCCAGGGGCCCCAAATCCGGGCCCGCCGGGTTTTCCCCGAATCCCTTCATAAAAAGTTACTTTGGGTCACACTCCAACAGCAGTCAAGTATTAAAAACCATTTGTCTCCATTTACTTTCCCATCAAAAAACGCTCACGCAAAGCCCCGCTGGAAGTCCAAGGGCCCCCCGCACACAAAACCTCCTTTACCCCCCCCCCCCTCCAACCCCTTCCCAGGGGCCCACCCCCACCCCCCCTTTCCCTTCCCCTACAAAACTGATACACCCTTGAAGCTTCTGTTTTGCTCCATTCCTCTTTCATGTCCGAACCACCTCAAAAACCCTTCCTCAGCCTCTGGGCAACAGTTTTTTGGGAATCCCGCCCCCTCCTCCTAACTTCCAAACTACCCAATTCCCCGCATTATATTCACAAAACCCCACATTGCCCCCAGACATGACTCCCACTGCCTCCAGCCTTCTCCTCGCGCAAATTCATACCCACGCTTCACACCCATATAAGGGGCGTTTGGGAAAAAATATACTCCCCATAAAAATTTCCCCCCCCTTTTTCCTCCAAAAGGGCAAAGTTTTTTTGCTCCACAGACTCCTAAGTGCACCACTCAATCTTTTTCCCTCTCAATTTTAAAGAAATTTACCTAAACTTTCAAGACCCATCCGTGACACGTCCACTCCCAAATATCTGAATAGTTCACCTCCTCCATAAATCTCTCCCTCCAATCTGATATTCAACTTTCATCAACCCAATCTTTTTTTTTATCCTCATAACCTTACTCTTTCCTGTTTTTCACCTTTAAATTTTCCCTTTTTTTGACACCCTAAAAAATTCATCCCCCAATCTCTGGGAAAATTCTTTCAGAATCTCCCCAAAAGCAAAAGTGTCCCTTTGGCAAAGAGCAGCTGTGACAACTCCCACTTTGTGTGGTTCTTTTTCTTTTAACCCCCACGCCTTTTTGCCAAACCCCGATTTTCTTCTCTTTTCCAAACCCCCCCCCCTCTATAAATTATTTAAAAAAACCCGGTGAATCACACAAACCCCTTTTTCCCAAGGGGGACTTTTACTGGGAAAAAAAATTTCCCCCTTTCCACATACTCTAACCCTTTAGCCTCACTATCCTCGGGGAAAAAAATCTTCAATGCCCTTTTAGTAAAACCCACCCCCCTACACCCTTCACCCTTTCAACAACTGCCACATTGCCCCCCATCCCCCCCTGTCATAACCCTTTTCCAAAACCATAAAAGCCAAAAAAGACCCTTTTTTTGCCCCTTTTCTAAAATACTGTTCACTTATATGTTTTTACTGTAAACCAACCTGGGGCCACACACCCCCCAACCCTTTTTTTAAAGCCCCCCTTTTTCATCTGCTATCCTATTCTCCGTCTTACCTTAATTCTTTTAAAATTTTTTTCTACCATACAAATTTTTCCAGGTACACTCAACCGAAATTATCCCCTATAAATTTTTTTACTCTCCTTTTTAAACCCCCTTTTCCTTTTTTTAAAAGGAAATATGCAAAGCTCTCTTTCCAATCCTAGGTACCTACCCTCTTCCATACATTTAAATTTAAATAAATTTCACCAACCACCCCAAAACCCATATCCCAACCCGCTTTTTAAAATTTCTTTTCTTTTATCCCACAATCCCCCGGGTGCCTTACCCCCCTTTTATTTTAAACCCACTGCCTCACGTGCCTTTCCCCCCCCCACAACTGGCTTTCCCTTTACTCCTACAAAAATGTTATTTCCCTCCTTGCCCTATACAAAGAAATTTACAACTTCCCTAACTTCATAACATTTAACAATTCCCCAAAAATTCCTTCCCCTCTTCCCCAAAAACCCCCCTACCTCTTTCCTTTAAAAAACTCTCCTCTCCTATTTTTTTAAAAAACAAAAAACCATTTTTTTCCCTTTTCCCCAGGCTTCTTAACTTGTTAATTCCCCTCCCCAAAAATTTTTTTATTTTCAAAAAAAATTTTTTGGGTTAAAAATCTCACCCACCCCTCTCAATTTTCCTCTTTTTACATTGCTTTAAAACCCCTCTCTTTAATTCTCTCTTTTTCCCATATAATTTTTCCCTCCTTGCATCCCCTTCCTTTGTAAAAAACTTTTCATATGCCAACTTTTTTCCCCTTACTACTCTCTTTACATCATCATTCCCCCCAAACGCTCCTCTTTCCCCCCGCCCCCCTTTTTCCCGTAAACCCCCAAACTTTCTGAACACTCTAACACTACATTTTTTTAAAACCCACCCCATAAACCCCTGGGCCCCCTTGCCCCATGCCCCCTCAATTAGCCCATCTATCCTCCAATAGCTGTTTTTTATTTACCCCAAAATGCCTCCTTTTAAATTTATAAACCTTCACCTCTCTCTTCCCTGTTTCCTATTTTTCCTTGAAACCCATTAAACCTTTTTACTCTCAGTGTAGCTACAACTAGAAAGTGATCGGTTTTAAACTGTGGCCCCTCTAAAAAACATGTACATCCCGAAATCTAAATCAACAGTCTTTTATCTACCAAAACATAATCCCCAAAAAACTACTGTCATTTCGCCCTACCTCAAAATCGTGTATACTTTTTTTATCCTCTTTTTCTTAAAAAATGTTTACCTATAAAAAAACCCCTTTTTTATACAAATTTTAATCAAAAGGGGTCCCCTTATAAATTTTCCCTGGGGACCCCAAACTTTCCTACCACAACCCCCTCTCAAAAGTTTTTCCTACTTTAGGGATTCAAGTCCCCTACCCCCAATTACTCCCCCTCACTTTGGGTTTAAAGGCTCCTATACAAACACTTAAAAATCTCCCAAAATCTCTCTCCCCCTCCCCTGCATTCCTCTTTTTTCCAGGTGCATACACGCTTAATTTTGAAACCCCCTTCTCGCATCCCCCTTAAAAACCCCCTTTTTTTTTAAACCAACCCTTTAAATTTTTGAATTTACACATTCATATTCTCTTTTCCTTCCCTAACTGATCATTTAAAAATTACTGCTACCCCTTCCTTTTCTCTAACCTCTCAAAATACTCCAGATTTAACCCATTTATTTCCCCCCCCCTGAAACTCTCCAACCCCCCTTTAGCTTTGTTTCGCTTAGGGCCCGGGGCATCAACTTCTTTTTTTTTTACCAAACAGCAAAAAATCTGTTTTTTGTCCCTCCGCCCCAAAAATCCCCGCACATTTTTAAACAAACCCCGTTTTAAAAAAGTTTTTCTTTTTCCTTTTTTAGTAATTTTTATTCAGGGGAAGGGGTTAAATAGCCCCTTGCTCCCGGGATTTTAGCGCCTCATACGACACGATGGCTTACGGAGGAAAGATTCTTTTTCCCCTTCCCCCTGGCCCAAAAGGGAAAAATAAAAAGGAAAAAAGGCTATTTAGAAAAAGGAAAAAACCTAGAGTATGTAAAATATATAATGCATTTTGCGTGTCGTGAATTTTGCCAAAGTGTAAGTAAAGGGGTAGCAAAATTTCCCGTTAACTTAGCCGGGGGGTTTTATGGGACCGAAAAAAGAAAACCAGGGGATTCCCCTTCCAAACTGTAAAAGTCAAATCTCTCTCCTCCTCCAGTGTCCCATACACTAAGAAGAATCTCCAATAAAGGTAAGTGTTATGCTGTTAATGTTTCATTCATCATTTCCCATTGTATTGTTGATGTACTACATCTATATTTCATGTAAAAAAAATTTTTTGTTTTAATACTTCTGGGTGTCAGGAACGGATTAATTGTATTTACATTATTTCTTATGGGGAAAATTGATTCGAAAATCGTAGATTTCGATAATAGTAGCAACTCCAGGAAAGGATTAACTATGATAAATGAGGGACCACTGTATATATAAAATACGCAGTAACTTTAAAACACTTGAAATTTTGGAAAGTTTCCTGACATAATAGATGTGGTCACATAGAATGTAAACAAACTGGGTGGGGTGCGCCATATTTGAAAGACTGCATGCTGTATAACAAATTTTGGTCATAATTTGACATCGCCGTATTAGTGGAACACCGTAAGGCGAAACGCCGTAAAGCGGGGCCGTACTGTATTTGGTTGATGTGCGCTTCAGGAGATGTGCCTGGTGTTATACTCACCCCAAGATCTTTTTCCTTGAGTGACGTTTGTAGTCTCTGGCCCCCTAGACTGTACTCCGTCTGCAGTCTTGTTTTCCCTTCCCTAATCTTCATGACTGCACTTGGTGGGGTTGAACTCCAGGAGCCAATTGCTGGACAAGGTCTGCAGCCTGTCCAGATTCCTTTGTAGTTCTGCCTTGTCTTCAATTGAGTGAATTCTTCTCAACTTCACGTCATCTGCAAACAGGGACACTTCGGAGTCTATTCCTTCCATCATGTCGTTCACAAATACCAGAAACAGCACTGATTCTAGGACTGACCCCTGTGGGACCCCACTGGTCACCAGCGCCCACTCTGACACCTCGCCATGTACCATGACTCGCTGCTGTCTTCCTGACAAGTATTCCCTGATCCATTGTAGTGCCTTCCCTGTTATCCCTGCCTGGTCCTCCAGTTTTTGCACTAATCTCTTATGTGGAACTATGTCAAAGGTATGGTTATACTTAGTGTCAACTTCTCTGTGGAACTCAAATATTATTTCACACTTTTCAATGCATAGAACCAATGTTTGTTATGTAGTATGTATGTTTTGTGTAAATTTTATTTTGGAAGATATTAACTAAAGGTGTTAAAGTTGGATAAGCTAAGTTATATTGTTTAATTAAGATTAGGTTAGGTTAAGTTACTTTAAGTAAGATATTGTAAAGTATTGTATCCTGTAATTAAGGTTATACAGTGGACCCCCGGTTTGCGATATTAATCCGTTCCTGAGAGCTCATCGTAAACCAAAACTATCGCAAACCGAATCAATTTTCCCCATAAGAAATAATGGAAATCAAATTAATCCGTCCAAGACACCCAAAAGTATGAAAAAAAAATTTTTTACCACATGAAATATTAATTTTAATACACACAAACTGACACCTACCTTTATTGAAGATCTGGTGATGATTGATGGGATGGGAGGAGGGGAGAGTGTTGCTGGTGTTAGTGTTTAGAAGGGGAATCCCCTTCCATTAGGACTTGAAGTGTCAAGTCCTTTTCCCGGGTTACTTCCCTTCTTCTTTTAATACCACTAGGACCAGCTTGAGAGTCACTGGACTTCTGTCGCACAACATATCTGTCCATAGAGGCCTGTACCTCTCGTTCCTTTATGACTTTCCTAAAGTGGTTCACAATATTGTCATTGTACAGGTTGCCAACACGGCTTGCAGTAGCTGTGTCAGGGTGATTTTCATCAAAAAAGGTTGGCACGTCAAGCCACTTTTCACACACTTCCTTAATCTTTGAAGTAGGCAACTTCCTCAGTTTCTCTATCCCCTCCTCCAAAGCAGTTTCCTCAGGTCTGGCCTCTTGCTGTAGAAGATGATCTAGCAGCTCATCAGTGGTTAGTTCTTCATTGTCCTCCTCCACCAACTCTTCCACATCCTCCCCACTAACCTCCAACCCCAAGGACTTCCCCAATGCCACAATGGATTCCTCAACTGCCATACACTTCTCAGGGTTAGCCTCACAATCCCTTTTGTCTACACATTCTGGCCACAGTTTTTTCCAAGCAGAGTTCAAGGTCCTCTTAGTCACTTCCTCTCAAGCCTTACCTATAATGTTTACACAATTGAGGATATTAAGTGATCCTTCCAAAACTTTTTTAGAGTCAATCGAGTGTCTGTGGTCACTTCAAAGCACTTTTGAAACATAGCTTTTGTGTACAGTTTCTTGAAGTTGGAAATGACCTGCTGGTCCATGGGCTGCAGGAGAGGAGTGGTATTAGGAGGCAAAAACTTGACCTTAATGAAGCTCATGTCCATAGAAAGTTGCTCTGCCAAGTCTGAAGGAAAACCAGGGGCATTGTCTAATACCAGGAGGCACTTAAGGTCTAATTTCTTTTCAGTTAGGTAATTTTTCACAGTGGGGGCAAATGCATGGTGTAACCAGTCATAGAAAAAGTCCCTAGTGACCCATGCCTTAATGTTTGCCCTCCATAGCACACCTAAATTAGCCTTGAGGACATTCTTTTGCCTGAACACTCTGGGAGTTTCTGAGTGATACACCAATAAAGGCTTCACTTTGCAATCACCACTAGCATTAGCACAGAATAAAAGAGTAAGCCTGTCTTTCATAGGCTTATGTCCTGGGAGTGCCTTTTCCTCCTGAGTAATGTAGGTCCTGCTTGGCAATTTCTTCCAAAACAGGCCTGTTTCATCGCAATTAAACACTTGTTTAAGTTTCAAGTCTTCACTGTCTATGTAATCCTTGAATTCGTTCACATATGTTTCAGCTGCTTTTTGGTCTGAACTGGCAGCCTCACCATACCTAATCACACTATGTATGCCACTATAAATCTTAAATCTTTCAAACCAACCTTTGCTGGCCTTAATTTCACTCACATCACCACTAGTTGCAGACATTTTTCTAATTAAATCGTCATGCAACTTCCTAGCCTTTTCACATATGATTGCTTGAGAGATGCTATCTCCTGCTATCTGTTTTTCATTTATCCACACCAATAACAGTCTCTCAATATCTTTTAACACTTGCGGCCGCTGTTTTGTAATCACAGTTGCACCTTTTGCAAGAACAGCTTCCTTGATTGCCGTTTTCCTGGCCACTATAGTAGCGATGGTTGATTGGGGTTTCGTATACAACCTGGCCAGCTCCGACACACGCACTCCACTCTTGTACTTTTCAGTTATCTCTTTCTTCATTTCAATAGTTATTAGCACCCTTTTTCTCGAAGGGTTGGCACTAGAAGCCTTCTTGGGGCCAATGGTAACTTATTTTGCATAAATAAGCACCAAAAACACTGATGGAATGTACCAAGTGTATGCTTAGATGCTAGCACACTGGCTGGCTCGCTTGTAAACACTGGCATGCATGGGGCAGTTCAGACCACATGTGGACACGTCCCAGACGAATCGCGTATACCGGGTTTTTTAATGCGAACCGAGTCAAAATTTTTGCGTTAAATTGTATCGTATACTGGATTTAGCGTATACTGATGCCTTCGTATGCCGGGGGTCCACTGTATTAGGTATATTTTAATTTAGTTTATGTTAGGTAAAGTATTATATCATTTATTTAACCCTTTCAGGGTCGACAGGCCCTCTCAGAGACTTGTTCTCTGGGTCGGCCAAATTTAAAAAAAAAATTATTTTTTTCTTATGAAAAGATGGAGAATCTTTTCCCGATCATAATGACATCAGAAGTATGAAATTTTATGGAAAACTTACGGAATTATGCTCTCGTGAAATTAGCGGTCACGACGATGTTCACGCATCGGCAATTTTGCCCACTTTCAGCCCTATTTTCGGCCAATTCCAGTGTACTTGTTGACAAAAATCATAACTATTTCGCTAGAACTCTATTTTCTCTATCGAATGAGTACAAGAAACCACACATTTACCGATTTCAACTATCCAATACAGTGGTCAGAATTTAGCAATTTTGCCAATTTCACACAAATTTCAAAAGATGCCAATTTCCGAATAGGGTCCAGAATAAACAAGAAAGACATTCCTTGCGCTAAAATAACATTTCCTCTGTTTATTAGTCACGTCCTCATGCCCCTCTTACATTCTTTTGCTTTCCACTTTGAATTTTTATTCTCACAAAAAAAATAGAAGATATACTGTTATGCAGACTACTGCAATGGTGTAGAAATGGTATAAATATTATCAGCGCACTTGTGAAAGAATATTAGACTCACCAGTTGATGTGTATTGGACGCATAGCATGATTTGTTTACTTTTGAACTTTGGTAAAAATTGAACATTTCTGCTACTTTGAGCTCAATTTCAAGGTACTTTTCTTTGTAAAACCAGTCAAAATCATCACAATTTCTGTAATATGTCTTCCATTCTATAGAATGAGACCAGGAAAACTAGAATGCAACAATAAATACCATACGAAAATACAGTGCAAAGTCGCTTTTTTAATCCAAAAACACTGTCAAAGTTTTTTTTCTCATTACGCGCTGTGTGCTGCAGGATTTTTTTATACTGCGCACACTGACCACATAGACCCATTCTTTCATATGTAGGCCTACCAGCTTTCTCTCACTAGATTTGAGGGCGTTAGGATTTAGGCATACTAGTACATCAAAAAATCTGGTGCATAAGTCGTACTAGTACGGCTGAAACCCTGAAAGGGTTAAAATCAGGTTAGGAATCATTTAATTAAGATGAGGTCATTTAGCACTTTTTTTGATTAAAATAATTAAGATTAGGTTAGTTATGGCTTAATTAAGATTAGGGTTGTGTCAGTTAAGATTAATTAAGATTAGTTTAGGCATTGTTTAATTAAGATTTACCACTCGCAGCTCACCTGAGTGAGTGGAGCTCATGACAAAAAACTACTTGACGGCCTCTGAAGGTGTTAAGGAAATATAATTTTACAATTCAGGTAACACAGGCGGACACTGCTTATACAGCAGTTTAGTTCCAGGCTTCTGTATGGCCCTGCTTATACAGCAGGCTAGGTTCCAGGCTACTGTATGGCCCTGTTTATGCATCATGCAGAGCATATCTTAAGAC